TGGCGTACCAAACCTATTTGAGGTGCATTGATGTACTCCGCTTATGTCGATTGCTTTTTCTAAACCACATTTGATTTGCATATGATTGAAATGAAGGACAGCAGCAGGCATAGAGTGTTACGAGCAGAACATGCTTGTGGTTTTGTCAAAAAAACTTAAGCCTATAGTGAAGCTACGCAGTACTTACTTAAGCTGCAGTGGTTGAAGTTAGGCAAATGGCTATATTAGGCAGACAGTTGGCAGCTGAGAATGCGAACGTGTCGACCGTCCAAATGCCAGTAGTTAAGCTGGCAACTGCCAACCTTTGCTTTTGCTGATTCGATTAATGCGGCTCTACTGCTGTAACTGCCTCAGTTGGAATGCCTTCACTCCCTGGCTTCTCTACCCCGTGCTTCGTTTGGGAATTGTCGAAATTTCCAATTAAAAGCTGGGAAATTGTACGGGCTGGGAAGGCAAAAGGCATTGGCAAGCTGAAGCTATTGTGGCATGTATCCGGCATACTTCTTCAGCCATCATTGCTACAACATCATCCTGCAATCTTCACATTTATCGGGCCCGTCTGCTACTCTTGCCAGCTTTCGCCGCTGCTGGCTGCACCGATAGTGTAACGCCAGCTGCGGTCATCCGAGCAATCAAATATGCCACCAACAAATCAAACCTTTCACTCTAATACCCTAGGAAAGCAGTGTGATTTATGCCACCAAGCTGTCCGATAACTTTGTTAATTCGTGTGCTAACAAGCTTTAATGCTTTTCTGTCACTTTACCAAGGTGTTGCAATTGCTTTCAATTCGAAAATACACATTTGGCATGCAGCATGAGGTTATGCGTTCAGATAGATAGAGATTAATAGTTGAAGGTTTGTGTTGTGGCATTGAAGCAAAGTAGAATTTGATTCTGAGGGCAGACCAGTTATGGGAAGTGTAAAAAATCTCAGAACTTATGAACGAGGTTGCTAAAGATGGAAGTTTAATAATTTTTATGATTAGCTTAGGCTATGGCAGGTTCGGCTAGGTAAGATGTGCGGTCTGATTTACTTTCGATTATAATATTTTGATCTTTGTCATTTAGTATCGGTGATTCTCATTTAGAAGTAGGAATTGAACTGAACAATACAGTTAATCTTCCAGATTCATTAGCTGCTACACGCGTCAAATTATCTCCTCGGCTGCCATACAATTTAAAAAACTATCAACGACTAATTGATACTATTTATTTTATTTATAGCCACCCGTGATTGGTCAAAATTGATTAGAATGGCTGCAAGCTACCCATCAAGCATATCATCAATCAAATTCAGGATCAATAGATATGTAACAGAAGCAAATTTCATACTCGTTAAATATGCATCACTCACAGCTCACAGTGGTTCAAAACTGGCATTTACTATTCATAATTTCAAGTGGATACGAGTTCGCGTTGATTTTTAACAATATACATATAAATATAGTAAGAATATAAACTACGCAACACGCAGATGTGCTCGAAAAGTTATCGAAAAAAATTAATAAAAATCAACGCGAACTCTTACCCACTTGCAACTTGCACTTTATTATACTAACTATCTATAAAACTGCATAACCAAACCTTTTCTAAAAACTAAAAAAAAATATTGTTTTGATTAAATTTTGTTTAATAACATTTAAAATTTTTCTTGTGAATTTGTTTCGTTTTGGGGGAAATCTCCAATTGTTTTCAGTAAGTGTTTATTATGTAACATTTATTAACTGGAACAGAATAGTCAATTTTCTTCAAAATTGCTACTTTTTCTGCATCTTGCACAAAAATTTAATACAAGTGAATTATAAAAAATACATTCAAGTATTGAACCACTGTGCAGCAGCTAGTTGAAAATGATTCGCTGTATTAAGACTGGCTTAGTTCACACAAATACATATTTACATACATACTAGCGTGGGCCGAAAATCCGCTTTTTAACCGACTTCCAAAAAAGGAGGAGGTTATCAGTTCGTCGGAATATTTTTTTTTTTTTTTTTTTTTTTNTTTTTTTTTTTTTTTTTTTATGTATGTTACCGCATAACTTTGGACCGCGTCAACCGATTTCGATAATTTGAACCGATTCGAAATTTTGCATCAGAGGTGGTCGCATACTAATCTGGTTGAGATCCGATCAGTGGATCATGAGATATATATATATATTTTTTTTTTTATATGGGAGTTGAAGTCGGTTTTTTTTTTGCTAAAAATTACTAGTTTAGAATTTTGATTGGTAATAGCAAAAATATGGTTCATTATGCTCTAAATCTGAGTGAAAGGTGAAAAATTTTGGCCAATATCCTAGGCTCGCCCAAGTCCAACAAAGTTCAAGTACTAAAAAAATTGTTTCTTAGCTAACGTCAGTTCTCTACAAAAAAGGTCCATATACCAAATTATGTAGGACTAATACTTTCGAAAATTATTGCAATTTTAGTAAAAAAATGTATTAATTAATTTATTTATTAATTTTTATTTTTTGAGCATAATGAACTTTGATGGACTTAGGCGAGCCTAGAATATTGGCCGAAAAATTCCAAATTTCACACAGATTTTTTTTAAAGCATAATGAATCATATTTTTGCTATTATCAATCAAAATTCTAAAAAAAGCGTGTTTTCGGCCCACGCTAATACATACATATGTGGAAGCATGGAAGAATATGAATGTATGTACGTATATACATATGTAGATTCACGAAGGTAAGCGAAAGTGAGAATTTTCAAAGCACGTAGCTGTCTCGCAGATTAATAAATCATCGCTAAACTGTCATTGATGACAATCAGCGCCAAAAATCATGCACACGCGCTTGTATGTGTGTGCGCTTGACCTCACCGGCCTGATCAAAGCNTAAGCATAATGAATCATATTTTTGCTATTATCAATCAAAGTTCTAAAAAAGCGGGTTTTCAGCCCACGCTAATACATACATATGTGGAAGCATGAAAGAATATGTATGTGTGTATATAGATTCACGAAGGTAAGCGAAAGTGAGAATTTTCAAAGCACGCAGCTGTCTCGCAGATTAATAAATCATCGCTAAACTGTCATTGATGACAATCAGCGCCAAAAATCATACACACGCGCTTGTATGTGTGTGCGCTTGACCTCACCGGCCTGATCAAAGCAAAACCGTTGCACACCCTGTCCTGTCCTGCCCTCCACTTTAATACTCTGCATAATAAGGCATAATAATAACCACGAAATACAACAAAAAATTGCATCGGCAACAACAATTGCAGCTGACCGCTTCATCAGGNCAAAACCGTTGCACACCCTGTCCTGTCCTGCCCTCCACTTTAATACTCTGCATAATAAGGCATAATAATAAAAACAAAAAATTGCATCGGCAACAACAATTGCAGCTGACCGCTTCATCAGGCATAAGCTCCTACATAATTCAGCATTTGTTGCCCGTTGCGGTAAGCTGATATTGTTACTGCTATGACAACTGTGGCTACTTACCATTTTGCGGTCGCGTATAATTGGCAAAGAGCGCCGAGCAATTCTCAAAGCTGCGTATGGCGACCTGATAGGGCGGGTAAATGATGCTGGGCGCGGTGGTTAAAACACTGCTGCCGTTCACTGCGCTCGTACTCGCGCTAGCTATGCCACTTGCCGCCGATGTCGTTGTCGTTGTTGTTGTCGTCGTCGAATTGAGCAATTCGGTGGCATAGGCGGCAGCAGAGGACGAAATATAAGCAGTGGCATTGACTAGCGTTGACGCCGCACGCGTAACATTAGCGGACGCTGACGTTAGGAAGCCGGTCGTAGTGCTGGATGCGTTAAGCGGCGCTTGCAGCAATGTTTTGGCGGTGCCAAGCAGCGTGGAGCCGGCGCGTTGGTCCGTCGCATCTACAGCCGCGCCAATTAACGCATCTGTTGCACTAGCGTCGAGGTTCGAAAGCCTTTCTGTGGTTGTCGCGATGTTGATGCTGCTGCTGTTGCTGTTGCTAGTTGTTGTAGTGGTGGTAGGCGTTGTAGCCGCCCCATAGCCATGCTCGTCTGTGACATTCTGGAAGTACATGTAGAGCACGCGCGTCACATTCGAGCGTATTGATGTGATGGTGGCGGTCAAATTGTTGGAAAAGGCCGCATCCGCATTGTTGTCGGCGATGTTGTTGTGGTCGCCGATGGCATTGCCCAATAATTGATGGCTTGCGCCGGCGCTGGCGAAAGTTGTCGCGCTCGTGCGCGCATCCAGTGTAAGCGGCATGGCCAGCGGCTTCAGATTCGCGTTGCGTTGCAAGGAGCGAGGGTCGATGGTCGGTGGTGGAAGGGAATCACAGCTGCAGTGACCTCTATGTTATTGTTGTTGCCGTAGCCACTTCTACTGTGTTTGCATTTGTTTGCGCACTGACATCCGTTTCCGCTGTTTCGGATATTGTCATTGTCAGCATTTATTCGCAGCCAGTCATTTTCGACTGCCTCTACGCACTTCCTCGCTCTGGATTGCTGGTGTTTTTGGCTCTGGTGTATGCTTTTTTGCTCTTATTTTCTCTTTTGGTGGGTTAAAACTTTCATGCATATGTGGGCTCGGTTTGCAGGTGTATGCGGATGTGTGTGGGTGCAGCACGTGCGCGTAAGTCGTGCTGCTCGTCGCAATGGTTTTTATTAAAATATTTATTACTCAATGAATTCAATTCTTTGTGCATCCAACTGTCACACTACTCTTCTCGGCAAATTGCAAATGTTTTCTCGATATTTATTACTTTGCTTGCTTGTTTTTTGTTGGCTCCGTTAAAATCGCTTGTCCATATGGCGGGTGTCTGCAATTTAAAAAAGCAAATATGCGAATGTAAAATTAATTGAATTTCAGTTAACGAATTTTCTTTGTGAAAATATTTATTTGCTGGAGATCGTTCCACCCGTAGAACAAAAAAGACAGCCGCTTACCTAGAAATTATATTAAAGCAATCGCTTTAGTAAAACAATGGATGTTACTGAAAACGAATGCTGTTAATCTGAGGAAATAGACTGTGGACACATCTTGAATTAAGAGTAATAAAAATGTTAAAAAAACCGCGCAAGTTGGCAAACAGGAATTCTGGTGCGCCGAGATATATGCAACGGCAGCTTATTCCACTTTTTGGTATTTCATTTGCCTTGTTGGAATATGTATGCAATTCTCAAACGCCTTGTATTTTTTTTAATCGAATGGTACTGCTAGGCCACAACAGAAGTCATCCCTCAGCAGCGAATTCTACCACCGAAGAATCACTTTGCTGAAACAGTGGTGACGTCTGCCTGGGCAAACTGTTTAACGTGCCGACCTATGCTGTCGATTGCATCAGACCATCTACTGATATTCGTGTCGATCGATAAATCTGCCCACTTTTCTTCCGCGGAACACCGAACCAACATACATCAAATATAACAACGAGAGCCCCTTCGCCGCCCTTCCCTTACCAACCAACGTTTATGCAGGTGAACGTAAATTCCGGGTTATCTCTGCTGCTGCATACCGCTTCATCTCCGCTGGAAATTTCCCAGCTGACGCGGCTGTTCTTTAGCAAACGAGCGCGACCAACTTTGCTAGGTCGAACCAGGAAAATCCGGCATCAGGGTTCTCAATTCGGAGATTCGGGAACTGGTAAACCAATACAAGCGAAAGAAGTGGGATCACCCGAAGACATGCAATTACACCTCTGGCGTAGCAGTGTTTATGGTCACTATTTTCGTTCCGGATGTCTGTAAAACGGGGAGAGTGTCCCACTGCTAAAACCGGATAAACAAGGCCACAAGGAAGACACTAGAGGCCTTACTACTCCACCACTTCAAGTACCAACTGACACCAAAGAGGCCACAGCATGGCTTCCGTAAAGTACCTAGCACAACAACAGACCTTAACACCATAAACACTCAGATAACCCGTGGCCTTAACCGAAACCGCCCGGTGAGAGAACAGTCGTAGTAGCGTTGATCTGCCAAAGGCGTTTGACACCGTCTACCACTCCACGCTACTAGAGAACATTAAGGCTTCCACTCTCCCACAGAGTCAGCGTCAAACCTAAGAAGACTTAAACAGGAGATCCACAGGGTGGCCGACATTTCCCGATTATGTTTAATTCCTATATTTCGAAGCTCTCTTAACCACCAGACGGAGTCTCCATCATCTCACATGCTGACGATTGCTCCATAATGGCGCCCGGAAATGGAATTGATGACTTGTGCTCGAAAGTAACCGGTTACCTCTCCGCACTGTCTCGGTTTTTCATTGCAAGGACCCTAACCCTCTCTCCAACGAAATTCTCGGCAACCCTTTTTAGCAGCAGCTTCAATTCGCTAGCCGGCAGCACCTGAGGCAAATACAAAGGAACGTTATTGGCAACATGCAGGGCAATTGCCCAGCCGGTTCTAAATCATGCAGGGCCCGTGTGCTCGCCGGGGACTAGCAGGACGCTGTGGACCACACTACGGACAGCCACGGACGTGGGCACCCGAACGGACATTTTCTTGCGGCAGAGCCCTCGACAAGGGACGTCAGAAGGCATATTTACCAACTGACGTACGAGGTTCATTGGACCCGACAGCGTAAAGACAGCTTATAAACGGAATTCCCAGAGAGTCGGTCTCAACCTACACCAACTCCCGACATGGAATGCCTTTTTTGAAGCACAAACCACATGATGTGGATGGGACAGAACTTTCTCAGCCACGGGGGACGCGCACATAAATTGCACCACTTCTTCGGCATTCGGAGAGTTACCACATGACCCGACATTTATCTTGGCATATCCACGAAATCCCACTCAACTAACGCCCCTCTCCCACGGTCCAACTAGGACACAAGCAGATCTAGGCAGGACTAGATAAGCCGCTACAACAACAACAGCCAAGGAAGACCCATCTTATTGAAGCAGTGATTTGCCTCCTTTTGTGAGAATGGCTGGAGTTTTTTGGGACACCAGCAAAAGCAAAAAAAATAAAAAATAGACAGCTAGTTTTGATTGTTCTCTAAGACACCGAAAATGTAATCAAAATACTAGATGTTTTCTTAAATCAATCGCCATTCCAGTGCCAACCTTTGATATAAATTAGTAAGTATTTATATACAAGTAATTTTTAGCAAAAAAAACCGACTTAAAAAAAATATAAATATATCTATATATTTCATGGACCATTAGACCACCTCTGAGATACTACCTTTCCGTTGCAAAAAGAATTATTGAAATCGGTTGACGTGTTGCAAAGTTATGCGGTAACATACATAAAAAAAAAAAAAAAAAAAATATTCCGACGAACTGATAACGTCCTCCTTTTTTGGAAGTCGGTTAATAATTATGAGCGGTTTTTTAATAAAAGTGCACACTAAAGTAGTATCTAAGTCCTTGTGCCCCCACATACACACACACACCCATGTACATACATATATGTATTCATACTGCTCATGTCCTTATTCATTATAATTTTGATTTATTTTGCCTACCGCTTCACCGCATTTTCCCAGAGTCAATGCTTCAAAGAGCTCACCTTCAATCTAAACTGTGATTTCTCGGAAGCATTGCTAAGGAATTCTGCTGCTTTGCCTTCAACAAGTGCAACAGCTCGGCAATTATTACAAAGTCAACAGTACTTTATGTAGCTGCAACACATTTGTATACGTATGTACAGTGCCGAAACAAAGTATTGGCACAGAAAAATTTTCACAATATGTATATGCAACAATTTTCGTTCTAATATTTTTCCGCTAATTTCGTATAAA